GGGGGGGGGGGGCTTCATTAAATCCGAGTTTGCTCATTCATGTGTTTATTTTGATTTTAATGAACTTTCAAAAAAGGGGTTGAATACGATTTTTCGGAATTTGTTGTATCCCAGTTTCACTGTACCTCCCCCTCTTCAGATCTTCATTTCCTTGGTAAACTTCAATGGAGAGACATGGTCAAAATGTTTGGAATCAAGGAAAGTGTAATGGATATTTTACTACCTTTTCAGGTGTGGTATGGATATTTTTCTTGGTAGGGAAGTTTGGAATTTGGAACCTTGCGAACGGGGTAAGTGTTTTACGATGCTCGCAACTAAATAAGGTCATATGAGTGCGCGGGACACACCTCATATTTTTAGTTGGTAGGAAATTGTTAATTTTGCCGGGGATGCGGTCGAAGCCTACTCTTATCCATTTTAGACCACCAAAGGATCTTTAACGTGCGCAACTTGCACATGGGCCCTCCGAGAATTTTTGCCCTTGTCCAAGAAGGCTAGGTGTAGATCTTTCTTACCAGAAGATCAGGGAGGTGGCTGAAAGACAGCAGTAAGAAGGAGCAAAGGAGTAGCAGTAGAAAGGCTGCAGAAAGAGTCAGGAGCCCAGAGGAGGGGGCGGGGGCAGAAAGAGTTTCAAAGAGGAGACGAAAGCAGACAACAAAACATTGTTAGAAAGCAGGAAAGGAGGTGAAAGGAGACAATTTTAGAGAAGAAAATTTTTTGGTCGCTACCCAGATTCGAACCTGGGACCTTTGAATGAGAGGCCAACGCCTTAACCTCTAGGCCATGAGAGCCCCCGTACTACTATTGTACATGTATGATAAGGATTTTTTTTATAATTTGGGGGGTTTAGAGAAGACATCAGACTTTCTCAATTTGTGTGATTTTTAAATGACTATTTTGGTGCATGTTGATGTTTTGTCAGCATTTGTCTCCTAATGATCATTGAGTCCTAGCATCCCTCCTCCAAAAGTTCAGGGTTCTACTTGTACTGAAAATGCTTGCTTTCAGTATGTGAGTGTATGTGAGGGAGAGACTCATTTACAATATACAACAGATTTGTTTTAGGTAAAAGTAATAGTAAGTGTGAGGGGCATATGTGAGGCAGAGTGGTGGAATCAGGCTCTCCTCAATTTTTGGGCATGTTGAGTTATTGGTATCATCTTAAAGCTTGTTCACTTGTTTTTATTAGGACGAAAAAAATATCCATTTATCTTGAATACAAGTCGAGATATTTGCGATTGAAGGAGGTGGGGGTCACCTGTTTTCAGAAGTAAAATTAGTGAGAAAATGGCCGCCAAAGATTAGCTATTTCCTTATCTTAATAGTCCGTGGTAACTGAAAATTTACATTTTTTGTGCATTTAATCAATGTTTTTCAGAAAAATCCACACAGAAATTAGTTCTTTAATGGGCATGAAAGGTGTCCAGCCAAAAAAAAAAATTTGATAAAAGTTCACAAACCTGCGGAAAAATGCAAGTTTTTTCACTTTGATTATTTTGACGAGAGCCTGATTCCACCACGCTGCCTCACATATATGTCCAAAGCAAAAATAATTAATTCCATGTTACCAAGTGGGATGATATTCCAGACTTACAAACTTTTACCTAAAACCATAATAGTATCAGCTGTTCAATAAAAATTTACATGGACTTTAATAGTCCCCAAATGGCTAAGGTGCTTAGCTTACTGAAAGGTTTTAGTTTCAATTTCTTAGAAGGCGTGGCAAGACTTAATATTCTCAAGAAAGTAGGTTAATTTAACCTTATTTTTCCATGTCCATGTCTTTTCAAATGAACACTTAACTGAAGGCCGGAGATGGAATAAGCTATTGTCAAGTGTGTATAAAAGGCTGCAATGTGGTAGATCCTGCGTGAGACAGAGCTGGTCAAAAGAAATAGGCTTAGGCCTTTGGGTGAACCTTCTATCAGAAAAAAAAATCAATACTGCAGAAGTGCTGAACATGAGTACGGAAAATCAACCAGCACAACTCAGGTAAAAAAAAATTAAACCAGTAATAAAATCACTCTACAGTGCACATCAACATTATATATAAATATTTTGATTTTGTTTTGCTTTCCTTTTTTTACTTTTAAGAGCCCATATTAAAAAAATTACTGTGTGCCCAGGAAAGTTCTATATAAATCACTTTCAACATAATGAGAACCGTTAATTCCAAAATGATAACAATCAAGGATTTAAGAGAAATTTCTGGTTTTGTTTCTCAAAAGAGCCTGTGTTAAATTCCTTGACAGAGAGTGAGTCGTTGCTAGTGTCGAAATCCAAACTATACACATTTTGAAGGTCGAGCCCTTGACCCCAGATCAAGGCAACCTTAACAATCTAGTGGCAAAAAAATTAAGCCTTACCCAACATCAGCTGTGGCCAGTACGTGTACCTCTTGGCAAGTGGATACAAAATCACCAAGCCTAAGGAAGATGCCCCAAGTAAAACACTGTGGAACACCCAAACAATATCCTTTCAAGATACATGAACTCAAAATACTGTGTTATGACTTGGATAGAACTGTAAAGTTTTCCTATTCTATTCTGATTCTTCCTCCTCATAAAATGCTGTCATAAGTAAGAAATAATAAAGTTTTCTCTATGATATCAGCTCAGATCCCTTTCCTTGTAACAGGACAAAAGTTAACGAATACTAACATATCAATAACAAAGAGAGAAGAACAATGTCCCAACCTCAAGGTCGTCTTCATGATCAAGGTGGATACCAAGACATTTGAAACAACCAGAGAGAAATGCTTTAAAAAGGCCTAAAAAAAATATATAGCTCTGATGAGGTACAGGCAAAGTACACACACATGGTAATGGTTATTTACTGCAAGTCTACAGACAGAAAGGGCTGGCAGACAGAAATGACAAAACGACTGCTAACAATAGGACCGACCAGGAATATCATCAAGCCATTCAATATGAATATTGATAGCTGTACTAAATGAAAAAGGTTTAGGTTGTCCCAGACTTCTTGATTTTAGTAAATAACCAGAAAAATGATACCATATTAGATTGATTGTAAATTTTTTACATCTCCATCAACACAATTCATATCAATAGAGGTGGGCTGCTTCCACCTCATCTTTCAAGACCAACCCAGACTTCCCCACATGAGAATAGAACTCACATTTACTGCATGCAAAAGCCAAAGGTGCCCAAAGGTGAAAGATGCTCACCTGTACCAGTTGAGTTGCAACAATATGGCGAGGGCACAGCTCAGCTGGGTGCCTAGAAATACCAAGGCCTGGAAGCTGGTCAGTTCTCCAGCAGCAAGAGGCCGAAGCTTGGTTCTCTCAACCTGCACATCACAAAGATGGCGATTTGTAGCATGATAACAACGGGCATATTTTGTAAAGAACAGAGGTATAATGTTCGTAATAATAACACTTCAACAATTTCGAAAAAGGAAATATTACCAGAAAATCCACTGACCACCAGCATACATTTTGAATTTTGGTTTCCCTAACTATTCTTTTCAGATTTTTGGGTGTCGAACAACTACAACTTTGAAAAACCAAAGCAGAAAGAATTATCTTTTTCTGTACTGACTAAAAGTCAAATTAAAACAATGACATTAAAGAAAATAAATATGACAATCAACAGCCCAATGAGAAGGATTTAGGAGAAACTGGAGTAGGCCAGCAAGATGCATAAACAAAAAGATCATAAACATAATCTAAGTACTACACACGATGAAATTTTCAGTTTTCCACATAATACTATTAGTACTGGACAGTTTATGGGCAGTGGTTGACTGCTAGGACTTTTTTAGCTTCAAATAGTCGTTGTCAGTAAATGGTTTTACTCTCTCCCTCCCCAACCCCTCTCCAACTCTAAACTGAAGTTTCTACTATCCAACTAACCTTGGCATCAAAGTCCTTGTCCCACATGTCATTGATGATGCAGCCTGCACCCCGCATGAAGAAGGCTCCAGCACCAAAGAGGGCAAGGAGCTTAGGGTCCGGCATACAGCCAGGCTGGGCAGCCAAGGCAATGCTCCAGGTACAAGGCCAATACAGCAGCCATGTACCTGAAAACAGTGCACAGATGAAAGTTAAGGCATCAATTGCAACAACAGGATTATGGCTTAAAGAAATATAAGGCACCACTTTCACCTCAATTCACCTGTTTTAATTTAGCATCTTTTTTTAGGGATGGTTGAAAACAAAACGTTGTATCAATAGTCAAGTGGTCAGGCTACCAGACCTGTAATTGTGAGATTCCGGGTTTGGGGCATCGAAGCTCAGCTCGGCTAACGTTGTGTCCTTGGAAAAGGCATATTAAATGAATTTTCTCACATGGTTCCCTTCTACTGCAAATGGACTGGGCTCTCATAGTCGAAAGGTATGGTGTTCACCTCTCATTCAATAAGTCCTGGGTTCGAAATCTGACAGCAACGAAAAATGTTCTCCTTTCACCTCCTTTCATGCTCTAATCATGTTCAATCATCTGCTTTCATCTCCACTTTCACTGGCACAAATTGCTTTTGTAAGATCATGATCATCTTTTAGCTAACTGTAGATAGAATCTACATATTATCTAATATAAGGTAAAATCAGGCAAATAAAGTGGATTCCATGAAGCCATTCCCTCAGTTTAATCTTTTCTTTCATATGCAGTGAAGTTGTAAGAGACGACAAAAGGATAAAAGGGAAGGTTATGAGCCTACAAACGTGTAGATGAAAACTTTTCAAAGACAAAGCAGACTCAAAGCTGCAATACAGACTTAAATCTGGGGAAAAAATGGTCTTTCAGTCTCACAGAATCTTTCAGGATCCCCTCAGGTCTGAATTACATTAAAATACATTAATACTTACAGTACTGTCGGCGAATTTAGTTGCCAGGCCATAGTATGCCCTCACTACCGCTGGCGATTTTAGTCGCTGACACAACCAGGCGCACAAAACATAAGAAAACAACGAATGCACACACTGCACTGAAGTAAATACCAAAGGAAGTCACTCTATGACAGCAGAATGGTTGATGAACCTCTATGGACTTTTAAAGTGTGTTTCTTGGGCTGCCAAGGTTTTTTTACTTTAAAAAAATTCTACCACCGTTCTAAACTGGTGTGGTACTTGAGTCTTTTTCACTATAGAAGCCTTCGGTACTGTAAGTGTTAATGGATAGAGGCTGTTTGACAACAGTTTAAGGTATGAGATTATAGTTAAAAGTATAGAAAACAAAATTACTAACTTAATCTAAGCTTCAAAGTAATGAGCTTGGTTTATAATTATCCTTATTTTAAAATGAAACTACAATCTTAATGAAAAATGCTAAAAGCAACAGCTGCAGTTTTCGCTATTTATATTTCAATTTCTGTACATTCTCTCAGGCACTAACATTTCCATCACCTGTTGGTTAATAATAAGAGCACACTACATGATTACTTAAGATACTAGATAATAAAATAAAAAATAAAAAATTGACTAAACATCTTCCTTACCAATTGGTTTGTCAAATCTAATCAGGCGGAGATAAGGTTGAACACTTCCTGGGGACGATTCTAGAATAAGTCTTGCTGGGGAGAAGCTACTCATGCTGTTGTGTGACTTTTGATGACAATCACAAACATGAAGTAAGGCTGCATGAGATTTACTGAGCGTGCTGTGAGATGCTTTCGAGGTATTTGAACTGGGATTAGTCCACATTGAGGAGAATGTAGAAAAAGTTAGGCTGCCTGGATGTTGATGCAAACAAAGTGGAATGTTGTGTTGGCTACTCAATGAGAGTTTTGGACTAGGATACTGAAAAACTGGAGCATACTGCCATGAGTCTGACTTTGGCAAAGAAGATGTCCTGCTCCTTTTCATCAAAGTGTTATGAACAGTTTCCAGTGAAAGGTCATTAATGGCACTTTTTTCACCATAACAGCTAATGGATGAATTGAATCTTTTACATGTCTGCAGCCGCTCTGTCATGGAGACATCTACATCGTCTTGACGGTGTTTCCCGATAGCAACACCAAGTGATGTGCTTGCCCTTTTAGATATGGTCCTCAGGAGAGTAGTACAACTGGCCACTGTTAAGGCCATTGTGAATATCTAGACCCAGGTCACTACTGCGAAAGAAAAGGACAGAGATCATTGTAAACTATCACAATCTTTTTTTTAGTACAAGCATTTTATGATTAGCAATAAAGGCAAAGGTCATATAAGTGCCGAAGATTAGAGGTGTCACAGGAGAGTATCAAACACGAAAAAGTTAGGTTAAGGAGAGATCGAATTGATAGAAGAAGTGAGCAAACCACATCAGAAGAGCACCCACCAACCACCAGCTATCACAAAATTTATCTCTTTGTAAGATTCCTACAACAAAGCTTTCTCATGACAATATTATTTGTAGTCAGTAACCTATATACTAGATCTAGACTAATCAATTAAGGATAAATGCCTGGGTGGATCAAATTGTTTTAACTTGTAAAATTGTGTAGATACAAAAAAAAATTAAATTAAAACTGACTATAACAGGCATAGTCCGAAAATCAAAAGGCTATGCTTACCCAATCTGTGTTGGAAAAGATAGAATATTCCCAACCGGTGTTGGGAACTATTAATAGTAAGGAAGTGTCTCGCAAGACCAGGATCCTGGTCTACGGACATTTTCTAGTCTAGGGGGACCATGAAAATATTTTGCTTTGCGCATACGAGGCATAATATGATAAAATTACTAGTCACTAGATCTATCACAGCAGCTTTCCTATCCGGTGTTCAATTTAAAGCGGGCAGGGCCTGGTGGTATTGTGAATGACGTCAACACTTCCATGCAAAGGCATGCTTAGATGTTTGGGGCAAGGGGAAAAAAAGGTAGGGGGTTTGAAAACGTGACATTAATTTTATGTCTCAGCATCTTGCCTGCCGGTTGCAGTCGTCCGTACAGTGGTGGTGAATCAATTTACTTACCACGTTTATTTTATCCCAATAGATACTTTCTCCTACCTCAAAACAGATGGAAAAAAATAGCTGGCGTGGTTTCTTTTAACTGTTCACGTGCATATATATATATATAACTAGGGGATCTGTAAACTTAAGAGAATTCAGACTTTTGCGACGAGTCAATGATTGTAAAATAGGATATATATATAGATCTAAGATATATACAGGTTAGGTAATACTTAAAAATGTGGGTTCCGTCTGTGGCGTCGGTGGCCTAGTGGTTAGGCTCTCGGACTCGCAACCGTAAGGTCGTGGGTTCGAATCCCGTCAAGGGCCCGACGTTGTGTCCTTGGGAAAGGCACTTTACACGAATTTTCCTCACTTCACCCAGGTGGGAATGGGTACCCGGCTATAGACAGCGAAAGATCTTGTCAGTTTGTTAGTGTTTGAGCGCTTAATCAGCTGCTTGCACTGTATGCTTCCCGGGAAGCTGAGAATGTTTCGGAGTGTTCTATGGTCTGCTGGGGTAATAATATAGTGTAAAGCGCATAGAGCCTGCTGTTGAGCGGGGATATGCGCTATACAAATGCTATCTATTATTATTATTTATTTTATTTTTTAGGCCTACGAGATACCCATACTGACATAAATATTCAGTATCGATGTTTTATCCCAACGAGAGCGAGACACGACCTGTTATTTTTCAGTAGCCTATGAAAAAAGGAGTAAAATTTCACTTGCTTTTAACAAAGGAGGTTTCAGGGGAGCTTTCCCACCTGACCCAACAAAAACAATGGGGGCAATTGGGGGGGGGGGGGGAGGGGGGGTGTTTCAAGGGGGCATGCCCCCATAATTTGATGTTTTGCAATTAGGCCTAGGTTTGATATATCTCCATATCGGCATGCGCATCAAAAAGTAATCATTTAGAACCAGAAGTAATCATCAGTGGAGCCAAAATCCACACTTCATAGTTATCACCAAACTGGACCCACATTCTTAAGTTGTACCGCAGGGTATCTGAAGAATTGAGCGCCGACTGTTTCATAAGCGATTCAGAAAACACCGGTTGGAAATCTAAGGCAACATCGGTTGGGAATACACACATTGAAATACAACATTTACCTTAAAAAAACAACGGCCTGACTTTTTTAAATCATAAAAGTCTATGGCTGAGTCTATACATGCGCACACAATTGCGAGCACAGAAATTTAAATTTTGCTATACGCGCGCAATTGCGTGCAAGGTATCATAGTTTGCTATACGCACGCAATTATGTGAACAGTCAAACCTGTGTAAAACGGCCTCCCAATGTCAAAGAGAAAAGTGGCTGTATAATACAGGTGGCCGTCTTAGGCAGGACTGGTCAAAATGAAGAAAGCAAATCATTCTCTTCTGAGGTCCAAACCGGGGCTGATCTCAGACTTTAAACTGCCGTAGGGCTAATTCAAAAGGGTTTTTGTTTTCTTTTGAAAAAGGGGGGGGGGGGGGGGGTGGATGGTGTAAGGTTTTTTTGTGTTGTTTTGATGGTGTTTTTTTTGGAAGCTTTCTTTTTGTTGCTGACTTTGTGCAAGGGTAAAATTAACTAAATATTATGTAAGTAAGATGATGAACACAGAGTGCCATGGTAAAACAAACACACGGGTCGCCACCACTAGAGAACGAGCGATGCTTCTGTTGCAAGCTCAAGTCAATGTCCATTGTAACTTTGTTCTTACAGATTAGGTAAACAAAACAGTGACCAGTCACATCACACACGATTTATGCATGAGTTGTGAGCGGGGCTTTTATAGGTAATGATGGATCACGCTTCCCTCACCAGCTGTTGAAAAAAATGTAGTGTTAGGCCTACCCATAGATCAACTTGGGTAAACATTCACAGGAGGGACTGACAATAATGACAGGTGACTGAATTATGACTGCCCATCCACAGCGTGTAGTGTGAGGCCGATTCAAAATTTATGACAGAGCATCCGGCAATGCGAGATCACGCCTGGCCGCCAGAGGCAGGTAAATTTGACAGTGGGTTGATAAAATAAGGTGCCCCCCCCCCCCCCCAACCCCTTTCTTTATTTTCGATTGGCATTAATTTGTGTTTATCTTTAACCCTATCCGTATGTTGTGTTATACAAAATCATATCCATACAATACGACGTGGGGAACTCTGTGACACCACTTTCAAAGAGGAAATTTACTCGTTAATCCGATCCATAGGCTTTGCAAAGCAGTCTGTCAAAATGATATTTTGAGAACGACTATTCGGAAAAAATGTTATTCGGACTCTGATTCTTGTCCAGCATGACATCACTTCCGACTTCCTGTGACTCGTGACTCCGGCTTCCTGTCCTGCTTCACTCGTGACTCGCCTCAGGCTGGGTAGAGACCGGGACCACTTTGGGCAAAATGGCGTTAAGTTTATTGTGCCGGAGCCGAGTTTTTATCTTATGATGAATTTGAGGCCGGCCTGAAAAGTTAGAGCGCTTCTAATAAATGTTGATTTGACAAGAGGTCATCAGAAGCAATTAAAGATGGCTTGTTAGCGTGTGTTGGGGTCGAATGGGCGCCCTGCACACGTGTGCCTGTGTGTGCATCTCGGAGAAGGGGGGGGGGGGGGGGGGGCGCGCTATCGGTCCGGGCATTGAACGTCGCATTCGCGTCAGCCCCCCCCCCGGCAACTGATCATTACAAAGCTAGTCTTGACCTAGATCTACGTAATGAATTGTGCGCTGGTCTATGGAATCAAAAGTTGCCGTATGCTCGGCTCTACACAGCAACACAACTTTTTCTTGGTAAACAATCGAGATGACACAGGCTTGTGTATTTGAACGAATCGGTCTTTTTTTTACACAGCTCATAATATGCAGGTGCCAGGAGATCTGCTAATCTTCAATTCGAAGTGGCTAGCCGTACTTAAGTACGGCTAGACTGAGAGTCTAGCCGTACTTAAGTACGGCTAGACTGCAAGTCTAGCCGTACTTAGATCTAGGTTTGGCCCTAGGCGATCATAAATCAGGCAGCGCAGCCCAAGAACTACATACCTTGCTTGTGGGCTGACACACCGGCCGCTCAGGCTTCGGCCCACAGCAAGCAGTGACCTTCGTAATGATAATAATGATTACAACGGCCACGGCTAGGCGGTCTCTTTCTCCCCCCCCCCCCCCTCTCTCTCTCTCTCTCTCTCTCTCTCAATGGTTTAGCTTCCCTGTGTTTGTGTTCAAACTAACGGACATGTAAAAAATTATTCTAGACAGACAAAAGCGATGGGAAGACAGAAAGTTGACTTGAGTTGAGTTAGAGTTTTACGGAAATGGAGGGCACACACTGATATGTTTTGACACCTTTTCATAGGATAAAATGTTTGGTAAGCTAGCAGTCCATGCCCGACATTCTGTTTCATCCGAAGGAAATCCATACAAGGTCACTTTTTCTGCACCTTTCTGACTGTCATAGCCAGTTTTGCATCCACCAACTGAGCATTTTCTTCCCATTGTTGTTCTTATTCCTTCAGTTTATTTTGAAGGTGTCAGTCACAGTCCAACAGAGTCATAACCACACATGATGAAAGCAATAAATAGGCCTAGAAGAGAAGCATGTAAGCACTGTGAAAGAACAGCAGATATTAATATACAAAGCAGGTCGGGAAAAACACAAAGGAGCTCCCCCATAATTATGATCCGTATACTTTTCCCTACCTAACAAGGGTGGGCCCCTAAACGCTCAGAGTCTAGATATATAGATTTATATCTACATGGTCCTTTTAGTCTATTGTTTGTGTTACAAACTAATCTAAATCTAAAAGCAGATCTAGACCTAGGGATAGGATGGAGAGTTCGTTTTTAGTGGTTGTTTGCATAGAGAGGCTCTAAGTCAGTGAAGAGTGTGCGGATCAGAAGGGGGGGGCCTCCACTGTGTAGACATGGATTTTAGAATGGATTTAGACAGATATGAATTAAACTTGCACGGTCAAAACTTCACTGTAGGTTTAATCTAAACACGTACACTGATGGAAGAGATATTTGATATTCACACAATCCAGATGATTTGGAAAAAACAACTGCATTAGGCCTCAACTAAAAGAATCCAGGCATTCACTGAGTACGATGGCGATGAAGAATCTGAAAATGAACAGTAGGCCTACAGTGCAGCCAAACAGCACTTCAAATTTGCGATCTCAAGACTGTTGGTCAATCTTAATTAATTAATCAATTAATTAGTCACCACTTCTGTTCCTCAACACACACAATGATGTATAAAATATTCACATAATCCAGATGACTTGAAAAGCAAACTGCATTAGGCAGAAATAATCCAGTGTCAAAGTATGAGAAAACAACAATTCAAACTGACCGCCGCACCCTGCGTAGGCTTATCACTACTAATGATCTACAAGGTTGTGGGCTTACTATACGGGTGTGTCAGCCCACAAGGAATCTAGGTCAGTAGCGCGCAGGTGGCCTGATTATATGACCGTCTAGGTTTGGCCCTATCGACTCAAGCCTGTTAAGTACACAGGTCTCATTAGATCTAGATCTAGATCTAGTAATTATTCAGGTTCAAATACATGCAAGTCAGTAAGGCACCTTTTTGTTTTGTCTGAAATACAAATACTTTAGGCATTGCAAACTAAAAATTTCATTTACAATTTAGCCATCAATATTAAGTACGGCTAGCCTGACAGTCTAGCCGTCCTTAAGTACGGCTAGCCTGGCTGTCTACCCGTACTTAAGTACGGCTAGACTGCCAGTCTAGCCGTACTTATCTTAGGCCCTATTAACATTAGAAAACAGGAGGTTTAAAATACATGCACTGTCATTTAGGCACCTGGTTTCGTCTCAAATACAAATACTTTAGGTACTGCACACTAAAAAAGTATATTTACAATTCAGTAGGCCTAATTTTTTGTTAAATGGTCAGTCTAGCCATCATATTAAGAATAAGTACGGCTAGACTGCGAGTACATTAAGTACGGCTAGCCTCTTCCTCTTCAATTTTACCTTTTTCTACAACAAAGAAAGTGGGAAACATGGGGGGTGGGGGCGTATCAATGAGGCGGCGGGCATCGGATCGGCAGACAAGGTGTGGGCGACTTGAGTCCAAATATGAAATTTTTAAATTCGGACTCGAGTCCGAATATGAAAAAATGTTATTCGGACTCGAGTTCGAATAATGACGGCCTTTTGAGAAATACTGAAAGTTTCAAAGAGATCTTCGTACAAGATATCTAGATCTAGAAGTATTCTAAAATGTGAAGAATACAACCCCGGGGGTACAAAATGACCCCAGGGCAGGGCATACGGATAGGGTTAGACAATCTCACCAATTCTCGTCCATAAATTTAGCCTGCACCAGTACCATTCTGTATCTTCCTCTTTTTCTGTCCAGACGTAGAATCTAGTTGTGCATACACACACACACACACACACACACACACACACACACATGCACACACACACAAACTTTGACACCTTGCACCCAGCTTTGGCTTTGGGGACGACAAGAAGACTGAAAAATGGAGGATAACTTCGGAAGAATGACTCACAGTCACATCTTTGGAAACAAACAAAACATGAACCCTTTTACATCCAGGTACGATGATCTTATCTAACACAGGCACAGAAGCTAAGACGATTTTAGAGGGCCATGTCGGTCGGTATGTGCAATGTGCAGTGCAGTTGTGCAGCAGGACACTCAGACTCAGACACAGCCGTCTGCTAGGGTCAGCCAGCAGCAACCGCAGTAACATGCGATTAAAAGTAGAAATGATGCAAACTATTTTTAGGTAAGGCGCCCATCTTGTTTGACGTCAGACCAGGATACCCCTCCGATCACGTGACTACATCTAAGTATAGACAACCGCATGGCACCAAAGATGGAAGTGTCTATGTATATTATGCTTAATCTACACAAATATCTCGGAATTTCTGATAGCTGATTTGATA